GCCCCCTGCTGGCCACACTGAGCCCGTCCGAGGACTTTCATGCATGTTTGGATGAGGTCACATATCTGGTGACGACATCGGAGGTATTAATTTGGGTATTGCAAGACATCCGCGCTTACGTCATACGTGGACAACGTGTCAACGTCTCGTCTGGCGACAAGATAGAAGAGCACCTGGGATCCCACGTCCTCATAATATCGGAGAGAGCGTGATCCACCGCCGCTTTACTGTGGAAAATTGCCAACCTTTTCCTCTGGAACCCGGGGGTCGCCCCCCCCCCCCCTCCGAAAAATCCCCCCCCCCCTGCTGGTCCCCCCTCCCCCTCCCCTCCCCTAACCCCTCCCCCCCCCCCCCCCCCCCCTTCCCGCTCGAAAACCGGGGGGGGTCACTACCGGTCGAACCCTCCCCCCCCCCCCCCCTCCCTCCGGACCGAAAACCGGGGGGGGTCACTACCGGTTCGAACCCCCCCCCCCCCCCCCCCCTACCACCTACTCACCGCCAGCAAACGACTCCCGGTCCCCACCACCGTCCGCATCACATCCCCCACTGGTGTTCCCAGCACCACTGTCCTCACCACCGCTGTCCCCACTGGTTCCACCACCGCCCCTACTGTCCCCACCAGTGGCCCCACCACTGTCGCACTGTCCCCGCTGTCCCCAGAACTGTTCCCACCACGGTTCCACTCTCCCCACTGTCTCCACGGCCCCAACCACTGCCCGACTATCCCCACTGTCCCCACTGTCCCACTGACTCCTCCGCTGTCCCACTGAGCTGTCCCACTGTTCCCACCACTGTCCCCACTGTCCCCACCACTGTCCCCACTGTACCTCTGTCCCATTGTCCCACCGCCGTCCTCGCCACCGCCTTCACCACTGTCCCCACCACCATTGTACCCTCCACTGTCCCACTGTTTCCACCTCATTCCCATTGTCCCCACACCACTGTCCCCACCACCACCGTCACCACCACTGTCCACTGTCCCCCCCTGTTCCCACCATTGTCCCCACCACTGTCCCCACCACTACCGTCCCCACCACTGTCCCACTGTCCCACTGTCCCCACCACTGTCCCGCTATCCCCTCACCACTGTCCCCACCAACACCGTCCCCACCACTGTCCGCACCCCCACTCGGTTTTCGAGGGGGGGGGGGTTCGAACCGGTAGTGACCCCCCCCGGTTTTCCGGATCCGGAGGGGGGGGGGAGGGGTTCGAACCGGTAGTGACCCCCCCCCCTTTTCATGATGAGCAGGGGGGGGGGGGGGGTGAGGGGTTCGAACCGTAGTGACCCCCCCCGGTTTTCCGGAGGGGGGGGGGGGGGGGAGGGGTTCGAACCGGTAGTGACCCCCCCCGGTTTTCCGCCAGCAGCGGTAGAACACGCTCTTTCTAATATCGAAGACGCCTACGGCGAATCACCGCCGCCCTCTGCCTTTTTGGAAGCGCCTATGTGGCCGAACACTGAGGCCAGACCTGCCAAGCTATCGTACCATGTGTTCCCCGAGTCGGTTTGGAAAGCCTTCGGGGAACACGTGGGCATCTTGAAGGTCACCTTGGCCGTCTGGAAGCCATTTTGACCCTTTCGGGCCTTCTTGGAGGACGTCTTGGAGGGCTCTTGGGCCGTCTTGGAGGCCATCTTGATGGAGACCTCTTGGGCCGTCTTGGGTGCCTTTTGGGGCCGTGTCTTGGGCCGCTTGGGCGATCTTTGGCGGCACTTGGGCCGTCTCGGGCCGTCGGAAGGCAATACAAAAAATGCCACAATCCTTCAAACACTCATAGGAAATCAATGATTTTGGCATTTTCGGGCCTTCCTGGAGGCCCTCTGGTCCGTCTGACGCCGTCGGAAGCCGTTTGGGAGGCCTCTATGGGCCGACTTGGGGCCCTCTTGGAATGCTCCAAGGCCGTCTTGGAGGCCCATCTTGGGCGTCTTAAAGGCCTCCTGTGCCGTCTTGGGGGCCTCTTGGGGCCGTCTTGGGGCCCTCTTGGGCCGTTCTGGGGCCATCTTGGAGGCCTCTCGGGCGATCTTTCGGCGATCTTCGGGGGCTCTTGGGCCGTCTCGGGCCGTCGGAAGGCCGAAAAGAAGCAAAAGTCCAAATCCGTCAAAAACATAAGTAAAATCAATGTGTTGGGCCTCTTCTGGCCTTCCTGGAGGCCCTCCTGGGGGCTTGGGCCAGCTTCAAGCCAACTTCGGCCATCTTCGTGGGTTCCTGGCACGTCTGACGCGGTCGGGAGCCGTCTTGGGGACCTTTCTGAGCCGACTTGGGGCCCTCTTGGGGCGCTTCGGGGCCGTCTTGGAGGCCATCTTGGGCGTCTTGGAGGCCATCTTGGGCGTGTTGGAGGCCTCTTGGGTCGTCTTGGGGCCCTCTTGGGGCCGTCTTGGAGGCCACTTGGGCCGTCATGGGGGCCCTTTTGGGGGCCTCTTGGGCGATCTTGGGGGCCTCTTGGGCCGTCTTGGGCCGCCGGAAAAGGGAAAAGGCGCAAATGCCAAAATCCTTCAAAAACCGAAGGACAATCAATGATTTGGGCCCTTTCGGGCCTTCCTGGAGGACATCTTGGAGGGCCCTTGGGCAGTCTTGGAGGCCTCTTGCGGGCCTGTTGGGCCGTCGTAGACCATCTTGAGGCCATCTTGGGCCGTCTTGGAGGCATCTTGGGGCCATCTTAGCCGTCTTGGAGGCCATCTTGGGCCGTTTTGGAGTAGAAGAACACCTGGGATCCCACGTCCTCATCATATCGAACGGTGTTCGGCCATTCCGCCACTGTGACTGGGTTGTGGGCCACAGGCCTCTAGGATGTTCGTTGGGATGTTGCGGGAAGCCTCTCGGGGGCCTCGTGGGGGCCGTTATGACGCTCCTTGCCGGCCGTTTTGGGGCTTTGGGGCTTCTTGAGGGCCTTTGGGGGCCTCGGGTCGTGTTCCCCTTCTTAGGTCCTTGCGGGGGTCGTCTTGAAGCCTTCTTGAGCAGTCTTGGGCGCCTCTTGGGTCGTCTTGGCGGCCTCTTTGGTTGTTTTTGTAAACTATTGGGGGCCTCTTGGGCCGTCTTGGGGCGGTCCTGGGGGCCTTTTGGGCCGTCTTGGAGCGTCGGGAGCTCGAAAAGTCGTGGAAGCTAAAACCGTTCAAGAACCGAAAGAAAATCAATGAGTTGTGGTTGTTGGGGCCATCTTGGGAAGGGTTTTGGGGGTCACTTCGGGCGTTTGGGGGGCCTCGTGGGCCGTCTTGAAGCCATTTTGCACGGTTGGGATCGATCGTTCGGCGACCCGAAACCCTCGTGGACCATTTTCGGGGGCCTCTTCGGGCCCTCCTGGCACATCTTGGCGCGTTCTTGGTTCAGAAACAGCCACGCCAGAATCCGAAACAACACGCGAAAAGCCCAGCTAAATTTGGCAATTTGGGCTCCGGGCCCCTCGAAGACTCTTCAGGAGTAGGGATTGAGGCTAAGAGAAAGAGGCTTGGGTAAACGACCTGAGGGCACGCCCACTCCGTGCCCAGTTAGATCCGGGAAATACATTCGCCGAATTGCATTCTACGCGCCGAAAACTCCTGAACCCGTCGATGCGTCCAAAAAGCTCCGAGTCGCCGAGCCCAACATGGCCCCCAGACGGCCCAAGAGGCGTCCAAGACGCCCCCAGAAGCATCCGATAGCACCCCCAAGAGGGCCTCAAGAGGCACAAGTATATGATGTCCTGCGAGTCTTTGCGTGATGTAGACGTGTCCGCATTTTCAGGCTGTTGACGCTCCAAGACTGCCCCAAAGCCCCCGAGATCGCCCCAAAATGGCCCAAGAGCCCTCCAAGAGTGCACCGAAACGGCCCAGGCCCCCAATACGGCCCAAGAGGGCCCCAAAAACACCCCAAGGGGGATTCCTAAGGGGGAACACGAACCGACATTTCAAGCTCTTGGCCCCAAGAAGCACGCCCCCAGGAGGTCCCGGGAGGCCCCAAAGAGGCCCTCAAGAGGCCCCAAGAGCCCCCCAAGGGGCGCCAGGAGGCCCCCAAAAAGCCCCCAAGAGGACCCACAGAGGCCCCCGAGAGGCATCAAAACTGCCCCCCACCAGAGGCCACCGACAGCCTTCAGAAGAGACCTTAACAAGCATCCGTCAGGACTCCGACCCCAAACCCAGGCACAGTGGTGCGATGGGGCGAAGGGCACTAGATATTGAGATAGAATATTCCGTTTTGTTTTCTGTTGCGCTACGACCCTCCCAGACTTTGGCAATGGATGCTTTTCGTTTCTGGTGTGTCAGAAAGCCTTCGTCACAGAGAAGCAACCAAGCACAAATTCAACATGCTGGCTGGCACTCGCGAAGTGCAGGACGGAGGATGAGCCGCGCGCGCGCTCCAGCCATGAGTAGTTGCAGCTGAGCTGGTTTGAGGCTGCGTCTAATGCCAGAAGTTCTCCCTACAATGTCGATGTCACGCAGCCCCGCTGTTAAGGCCCAGTAAGCCGACTGGCGTGCTGACCCCCCCCTTCGCAACAAGGGGTGCGTCGCGCATGCGTCGCCCCGTGCGTCGGCCGCCGAAAAGGCTGGCCGTCCTCACGAACACGCACGTCGCCCTCGCAAGGGGGTCCTATGGTGAGTGCGTTTTTCGGCACCGAAGTGGGGCTGAGTGCTCCCGGGATCCTCCTCGTCCTCCTCATCCTCATTCTCCTCCTCCTCCTCCTCCTCTTCCTCCTCAGTGCTCCGGCTCAGTGCTCCCGGGTCCTTCCGAGGGTTCTTCCGCTGGCGCTCCTCGTGCCCTGTGGCGCGGCTCGGGCCCAGAAGGAGGCGTCGTTCCGCGCCAAGGCTTCTCGCGCCAGACTTTTGAACGCTTCCACGGATGGGCTTCCCCATCATCGCGAGTCCAGTGTGAATCATTCCCTCTTGCACTCGCTCGCTCGCTTACTCGCTCACACTGTTCAGCCACTCGCTCGCTCGCGCGCTGGCTCCAACGCTCTGTCTCTCTTTCTCTCTCTCTCTCTCTCTCCCCCGCTCTCTCGCCGTCCCCTCAAACGTATTTCTGCGAGAGCCCGTCCAGTATGGTCGAATTGTCTTCTGCCCGCCAATGTCCCACACGTTCAGCTTGAATCCCTGCGCGAAATGTGTGGCGACAGAGCGACTGTCAAAGATTTCGGAATCAAGAGTTGCAACAGCGTGAGATCAGCTCTTGTGCCATGTTACAGAACAAACAACAGGTAAAGGCATGTACTCCGATAAACGTGAGCGTCGTTGAACAATGACATGCACGTGTGGCGCGTGCCGGATCGTACAATCAAGGACGTGCGCGCATGTATGTCTGCAACTGCATGGTTGTCTAACGTGCGCACGCATGCACGACTATGCGCATTCAAGTGTGCCAACGAGCAGGTACGGTTGCATGTGTGCTGTATGTGTTCGAACATGTATACACTAGAACCATCGCGCGCTTCGCGCACGCTCAAGTTCTGCTTGCCATGGGGCCAAGTGTACAGCGCGCCAGAAGGGCCATCTCTGGATAATCAAATCCTTACCTTGGAAGCCCAAGCATTGGTTTCTGAAGTCGCACTGAGGCTTGGTATTCGGGGCAATCCTGGGGCAACATGTGGCAATATTAGGGATCTCTTGAGTCTCCGAAGCCACCCTGGAGCCACACCTTGTCAGTAAGTTGAAATTCTAGAAAGTCATGAGAAATCCGTGGGCACCCCTTAAATGTTTTTATTGTGCTGGGGTCCGAGATGCCGCGCGCGAGGTGGTCCAGCTCGTTTCGCCTGACACATCCTCGCAACTCTGGGCTCCGAGATGCCCTGCGCGAGGTGGTCCAGCCCATCTCGCCTGAGACATCCTCGCAACTCTGAGCTCTGAGATGCCGTGCGCAAGGTGGTCCGGCCCGTTTCGCACAAGACATTCTCGCAACTCTGAGCTCTCAGATGCTGCGCAAGAGGTGGTCCAGCCTGGGGCCCAGAAGACCACATGTTACATATCCCCCCTGGGAGCCCCAGGAGGCCCCAGAGAGCTTTCAGGAGGCCAGGGCCGCAGGACGCCCAGGACAGGCCCCAGGGGTCCGCCAGGAGATTCCCAGTACTCTGAGTACCTCAATAGTTCTGGTCCCCCGGACTACAGGGGCCCCCCGGCTTTCAAGGGCCCCTCCCCCGGACTACAAGGGGCCCACCCCCCGGACTACAGGGACCCCCCCCCCCCGGACCAGGACCCCCCCCCGGACTACAAGGCCCCCCCCCGGACACCGGAAACCACCCCCGGGGACACAATGACCCGGAAGCAAGGAACAAAAACTTGACAAGGGACAGGAAACGAGAACAAAACTTGAAAAGCGAAAGGGGGCGGGAGGGGGAAAGGGGGCGGGCTACAGGGGCCCCCCGGACTTCAAGGGCCCCCCCCCCAGACTACAAGGGCCCCCCCCCGGACTACAAGGGCCCCCAAAAAACCCACCCCGGACTACAGGGGCCCAACCCCCGGACTACAGGGGCCGCCCCCGGACTATTGCGCACCCCAGAACTATTGAGGTACTCAGAGTAGGCTCCTAGGAGGCCCCAGGAGGTCCTCTATCAGAACGTGTCAAGTTCATACACATCCGGTGTCGATTCGTTGCTTTTTCCTGCTCTTGTGGCCCCATTTTGGGGGGCCCCCCCGACGGCCACATGTTAGATATCCCCCCCTGGGAGCCCCAAGAGGCTTCAGGAAGCCCCAGGTGGGGTCCAGGAGGCCACAGGAGGCCCAGGAGGAAGCCCCAGGAGGTCACCAGGAGGCCCCAGGAGGCCCCAGGAGGCCCCCGCAACTCGGAGCTCTGAGACGCCGCGCTCGAGGTGGGGCGGTTCGGGCCGTTTCGCCTGAGAACTCCTCGCAGCACGTTTCGCCCGAGACATCGTCGCAACTCTGGGGTCCGAGATGCCGCGCGCGAGGTGGTCCAGCCCGTTTCGCCTGAGACATCCTCGCAACTCTGGGCTCCGAGATGCCCTGCGCGAGGTGGTCCGGCCCATCTCGCCTGAGACATCCTCGCAACTCTGAGTTCTGAGATGCCGTGCGCAAGGTGGTCCGGCCCGTTTCGCACAAGACATTCTCGCAACTCTGACTCTGAGATGCTGCGCAAGAGGTGGTCCAGCCTGGGGGCCCAGAAGACCGCATGTTACATATCCCCCGGGAGCCAGGAGGCCCCAGAGAGCTTCAGGAGGCCGCAGGACGCCCAGGACAGGCCCCAGGGGTCCGCAGGAGATTCCCAGGAGGCTCCCAGGAGGCTCCCAGGAGGCCCCCTATCAGAACGTGTCAAGTTCATACACATCAGGTGTCGATTCGTTGATTTTTCCTGCTCTTGTGCCCCCCCCCCCCATTTTGGGGGGCCCGAACGGCCACATGTTAGATATCCCCCCCTGGGAGCCCCAAGAGGCTTCAGGAAGCCCCAGGTGGGGTCCAGGAGGCCACAGGAGGCCCAGGAGGAAGCCCCAGGAGGTCACCAGGAGGTCCCAGGAGGCCCCAGGAGGCCCCCGCAACTCGGAGCTCTGAGACGCCGCGCTCGAGGTGGTCCGGCCCGTTTCGCCTGAGACTTCCTCGCAGCACGTTTCGCCCGAGACATCGTCGCAACTCTGGGGTCCGAAATGCCGCGCGCGAGGTGGTCCAGCCCGTTACGCTGGAGACATCCTCGCAACTCTGGGCTCCGAGATGCCCTGCGCGAGGTGGTCCAGCCCATCTCGCCTGAGACATCCTCGCAACTCTGAGCTCTGAGATGCCGTGCGCAAGGTGGTCCGGCCCGTTTCGCACAAGACATTCTCGCAACTCTGAGCTCTCAGATGCTGCGCAAGAGGTGGTCCAGCCTGGGGGCCCAGAAGACCACATGTTACATATCCCCCCTGGGACCCTGGGAGCCCCAGGAGGCCCCAGAGAGCTTCAGGAGGCCGCAGGACGCCCAGGACAGGCCCCAGGGGTCCGCAGGAGATTCCCAGGAGGCTCCCAGGAGGCCCCAGGAGGCCCCCTATCAGAACGTGTCAAGTTAATACACATCCAGTGTCGATTCGTTGATTTTTCCTGCTCTTGTGGCCCCCCCCATTTTGGGGGGGCCCCGACGGCCACATGTTAGATATCCCCCCCTGGGAGCCCCAAGAGGCTTCAGGAAGCCCCAGGTGGGGTCCAGGAGGCCACAGGAGGCCCAGGAGGAAGCCCCAGGAGGTCACCAGGAGGTCCCAGGAGGCCCCAGGAGGCCCCCGCAACTCGGAGCTCTGAGACGCCGCGCTCGAGGTGGTCCGGCCCGTTTCGCCTGAGACTTCCTCGCAGCACGTTTCGCCCGAGACATCGTCGCAACTCTGGGGTCCGAAATACCGCGCGCGAGGTGGTCCAGCCCGTTACGCTGGAGACATCCTCGCAACTCTGGGCTCCGAGATTCCGTTCGGGATGAAGAGGAGGTGGTGGAGGAGGAGGAGGAGGAGGAGGAGGAGGAGGAGGAGGAGGAAATGGCATGTTTTAACATGCCATGCCAGCCCGCACTGGACGGGCACGCAATCGACTTTGGAAACCGCAGTGGGTCTAAAAACCCTGTTTGGGGATACTGCACTCCGGCTATAATTACTGTGTTGGCCCTCTTGAATACGAGACCTATGTTGCTTCACATCACCAATTTGACCCCTGCTGACTTTTTTCAAAATAATATATTGGGATGAAACGCTGCCGCTGGATATATCAAGCACAGTTGATCACAACACAAACGCTCCTGCGAACCCCCGCCAAAATGGCAAGAAATGGTAAGCTCAGATCCGCATGGTTACATTGCAACCGAACCGCTTGACCACCATCTCGACCGAACTGGCGGAATTCGACCACGCGTCCGACAAAATACGTTCGACGAGGGATGCGCTGCGCAATGCCCCGGCCACGGGCAGCGCTACGAAAGAAAGCGGCCTGTGGGCCCTGCCCGTGGGGCCGTCGGTGTAGCTCCCCGTGGGACCACGAAGCGTGTGAAACGTATGCCGAAATATGCTGGGCGGCGGCCTGGGAAACCTGCCGCTGGGACTTTTTTTGGTGGAACTGCCTATGGGGGCACGAAATGTTTGAGGGTGTCATCAATGTGGCCTGGGCGACGGCATGTGGACCTTGCCGCCGGGACCTCCGATGAGTTCCTCATGGGGGCACGAAGCGTCTGAGGGGCGTGCCGACATGGGCTGGAAGCAGAGACGCGGGGGAACAAGGGGGGTGTTTTGATGATGTGGATGAGGATGGTGGTGGTATTGATGATGGAGACGACGAAAATGCTGATGATGCTGATGATGATGGTGATGGCGACGATGACGATGGACGATGACGACGGGGACACGCGGAGAGCAGGGGCAGATACGCGAAGAGGGAGGACGAGGGACGGGGCCGGAAAGAATGACGCGGGGCGGTGTCTTTTCAAAACGAAGAACCAACACTGCAATATGGTAGGAAATTTCTGGACGACCCCCCCCCGTGGCGCGGTCAATGTCCGCGACAGCATCGCTGGCACTACGAACGAAATCATCGAACTCTTCCTGCGACGTTACCCGCGGGGTGGATCAGCCAGGGATGGGGGCCGAAACAGCCCCAGCGCAAAGCAAATGTACAATCCTGAGAAACCCCAGCCCACATCAACCGATCCGCAACAAGCACGCAAGCCTTTGACGACCCCAACGCACGTGACATCGCATAACGCGACGCGCCATCAAAAACGTTCGACGCGCGGCCTCGGAATGACATCGGGCTTCATGGAACGTCGAATGGAAAACATGAAAAACCGCCCTGTGGGCTCCGAGGCCCAAAATTACTGATGTGAAGGATTTCGGCTCGTCGATTGAAGGTCCTGTGTGAGCACTCTTGCGGCCGCTTGGGGCTGTCTTGGAGCCATCTTGGGGCCCCTTCGTAATGCAGGGAGCCTCCTGGGAGAACCCCAGGGCCTTGGGACCGTCTTGAAACCCTCTTGGGCCGTCTGGGGCTCCACCAAATGCCATCGTCGGCCCTCTTAGAGCTCCCGTGGGGTACGTAACTCTACGGCGACTGCTACTGCTACTATTACTACTTCTGCCCCAACGGCTACAATGACTACTCCAACTACAAGCTTGTCTCTTGCTCTGAACACGCCCGATGCTGGTTCTTTG